AGGAGATGGAATAAATAAAGAAAATAATAATATCATATACATGTATATATTCAAGGTGTTGGATTGTTTATGAACTCTTGATGAACGTGTCCTGTACAGCAGAGCCCACCGGTGCTGGCCGGTGGCACACTGACAGACCGGTGGTGCTGATGGTCCCCTCTAACCGGTCCTTCGCACGCGGCGGTCGGTGCGTCTCGCTCCATACACGGGCTCGTGCGCCCCGCGGCAGCCTCGCGCGGCCTTCCTCTCCATATATGGCCCGGCAGGCGCGCGAGCCTCTGCGTGCATGCATGCATGCGGCGGCGGCGGCGGCGGCGGCGGCACCCCCCGCGCGACCAAATATGGACGAAGGGCCGTTTGCATTCTTGGTGAATACTCGGACATTCCTCTGCACGAGGAGACACGGCGCGGGGGGTTTGGAGCGGAGGCTGTATATAAGGACCCCCCGGTGGTCGCTGCCGGTCACCCCTCAGCTGGAACCAGCAGCGGCGGAAATCTGCTCACTGACAGCCGGAGACAAGCAGAGGTAAGCGGCTTGGACGAGCGCTGGAGTCGGGAGAGAGTTGTCGCGGTAATTAGCTAAAGTCAGCGCAGTCTGCCCGGTGGTTCGGTTAAGTGAGTGAAACAGATGGAGAATAATCCGGACTAAGTGGTTCAGTGAAGGGAGCTGGCAGCGACCCGCAGCCTGCTTCCAGTCAGCCGCTGCTGCCTGACAGGCGGAGGAAGCCTCCTGTCAGGCAGCCAGGCCGTGCTGCCTTCAGGGCCGCCGGAAATTCTGACAACACAAGCGCGCGACACAGAAAACAGGGAAAAATTGAAATTTGTGTAGAATACAGAAAGTTTGTTTTAACTCTGCGGCTTTTCTACACTCAACATGTTCTAAATAGTCAAAACTGGACTCATCGTTTTAATGCAGCTAAACATAAACCACCAGCCCGCGTTTGTCTTCCGGTGTCTAGAAGTGCTTCTCATGTTGATGTTTACCAGTGAATGAAAAGCTCTCATTGGATCCAGCAGAAATAGGTGTGTTTTAATATTTTAAGCACAATTCCTAACAAGAGCACGTCGATAGTAGGGGAAGATTTTGGAGTTTGTGGGGAACACTTGAAGGCATCATCACACTGTGGGCGGTTTAATTGTGTTTCTTAATGACCACTTGTCATGACAGAACCTGTTTTTAGCTGATTAACTACCCTCTGGTTTAATGATGTACACAATCCAGGCACTGCAGAGGCTGGAAGGCTATTAAAGGGGACTGAGTAGTTAGCCTGTGATTATTCACTTTACACACAGCAGAGAGTGTGTGTGGATGGAAGCAACACACACACTGCAAAAGAGAACTTTGTTAGAGCTGAATATTTGTCTGGAAATGACATAGAGGTGATATAACAGGAAGCTAAATGAGCAACTATTTCTAATTAAAGCATTTCTGGAAGTTAAATCAACCTAAAATGGCAAGTTTTAATCTATCTTTGCTGCTCCAGCCACTTGTTTTAGACAATCAATTCAATACAGTTTTATTTACACAGCACCGACTGCCAGCATAAGTCATCTTACATAGTTAGATTAAAGCCTTACAATATTATGTTATACAGAGAAACCCAATCATTCCAACATACTATATATTTTACAAAAAGTTTAATTATTTAAAACAAATTTAAATGTCAGAAAAATAATGTGGAACTGCTGTGAAATGTTTTACACTTTTCCCCCTTCTGTCTAAAGTGCTGTTGGATCTGAACTAAAATCTCACCTCTGACTTTTTTTTCCCCTCCAGATTCAGCAAACATGTGCGACGACGACGAGACCACCGCCCTCGTGTGCGACAACGGCTCCGGCCTGGTGAAGGCTGGCTTCGCTGGAGACGACGCCCCCAGGGCCGTGTTCCCCTCCATCGTCGGCCGCCCCCGCCATCAGGTAGACGAGGACCGCAGCGTGACGGAAACATCTCATCTCCACTTACTGTCATTGACCCAATCAACATTTATTTTGTCCACCAAAAACCCATTTAGCTTCTGGTATTTGATATGAAGTTTGACACACATTCACACTCCCAGGAGGAGAGGAACCAACCTTAGAAGTTTGATGATCCTTTACCACTGCCATGAAGCCAAAATATGGCTTACCATCTGTAAATAGTCAAGAGTACTTGATTTAAACTAGCATGCTCTTTTATTTTACTAAGATAAATTAAAAGCATGGCATTTACACTTAGACAAGCTCTTTCTTTCCACACCCATCTTCACACATTAATGACATGATGACATTCAGGACTATTTGGCTGATGGTTACAACTGAAAAAACAGAGGAGCAGCTGGACCTCACCTGCCATCCTCTCCCTCTTAGGGTGTCATGGTCGGTATGGGTCAGAAGGACTCCTACGTGGGCGACGAGGCCCAGAGCAAGAGGGGCATCCTGACCCTGAAGTACCCCATCGAGCACGGCATCATCACCAACTGGGATGACATGGAGAAGATCTGGCACCACACCTTCTACAATGAGCTGCGCGTGGCCCCCGAGGAGCACCCCACCCTGCTGACGGAGGCCCCCCTGAACCCCAAAGCCAACAGAGAGAAGATGACTCAGATCATGTTTGAGACCTTCAATGTCCCCGCCATGTACGTGGCCATCCAGGCTGTGCTGTCCCTCTACGCCTCCGGTCGTACCACTGGTGAGTCTGAGCCTTATGTGAATACAAGGGCCTCTGGTTTCTCCATGTGGCTGATCACAGACTCGATTTTTAAACCTCTGCCCTTGAAACTTATTCCTAACCTTCTTGTTTCTACTCTCAGGTATTGTGCTGGACTCTGGTGATGGTGTGAGCCACACTGTGCCCATCTACGAGGGCTACGCTCTGCCTCACGCCATCATGCGTCTGGACCTGGCTGGTCGTGACCTGACCGACTACCTCATGAAGATCCTGACGGAGCGTGGCTACTCCTTCGTCACAACCGGTAAACGCTTCATCAGCACAAGATCCAGACAGTCACTTGAAATTCAGGACGTTATCCGTCTCATATGTGGAGCTTTAACTGTGTGTGCCACCAAAATAAGTTACTTATTAGTGGATCTATGTTAAAATGATGGGCTGCAAGGTGGCTCGGTGGTTAGCAACTAGACGGTCGCTGGTTCGCGACCCGGTGAGGACACCCGGGATCTTTCTGCGTGGAGTCTCCATGTTCTCCCCGTGCAGCGTGGGTTCTCTCC